GCTGGATATTTGTTTCCTTTGACCAACATCTCATTTCCCTTACTCTCCGGCAACCACTATTCTCCTGTTTCTATGACTTCAGCTTTTTTTAGGTTCCACATATAAGTGAGGTCATGTAATATTTGTCTGTCTTATTTCACTTAGCATACATAATACCATCAAGTACTATGCATGTTGTCACAAATGACAGGACTTCCTTCTTTCTTATGGCTGAATAATATCCCATTGTGTGTATGTGTATTTTATACCATAAAATGTGTACACACTTGTGTATGTGTGTGTATATATATACACACACATGTGTAGATAAATGAATAAAGATAATGTGTTTGATCCTTTTAATGTACTGTTGAATTTGGTTTGCTAGTATTCTGTTGAAAATTTTTGCATCCATGTTCATCAGGCATATAGGACTGTAGTTTTCTTGCAGTGTTTTTACCTGGCTTTGGTATTAGGGTAATGCTAGTTTTGTAAAATGAGTTTAGAAGTGTTCTTTCCTCTTCAATTGGAAAAATTTGAGGAGAATTGTTATTCTTTTTAAATGTATGATAGAATTCACCAGTGAAATCCTCAAGTCTTAGGCTTATCTTTGTTGGGAGGCTTTTGATTACTGATTCAATCTCCTCACTCCTTTTGGTCTGTTTAGATTTTGTTTCTTCACGATTTAGTCTTGGCAGGCTGTATGTTTCCAGGAATTTATCCATTTCTTCTAGGTTATCCAATATGTTGGCATATAATTGTTCACAGCAGTCTCCATGATCCTTTGTATTTCTGTGGTGTCAGCTGTAATAATATCTCATTCATTTATACTTTTATTTGACTGCTTTCTTCTGGTTAGTCTAGCTAAAGGTTTATCAATTTTATCTTTTTTAAAATCAACTTTTTCGGGCACCTGGGTGGCTCAGTTGGTTAAGCGACTGCCTTCGGCTCAGGTCATGATCCTGGAGTCCCGGGATCGAGTCCCGCATTGGGCTCCCTGCTCGGCAGGGAGTCTGCTTCTCCGTTTCCCACTCCCCGTTTGTGTTCCCTCTCTCGCTGTGTCTTTCTCTGTCAAATAAATAAATAAAATCTTTAAAAAGTAAAAAAAATAAATAAAATAAAATCAACTTTTTCATTGATTTTTTTACGAATTCTTTCTAGTCTCTATTTTATTAAATTTCTGCTCTAGATTTTATTATTTCCTACCCTCTGTTAATTCTGGGCTTACATTATTTTTCATTTTCTAATTCCTTGAGGTTTAAAGTTAGGATGTTTATTTGAGACCTTTCTTTTCTCTTAATATGTGGGCATTAATTGCTATGAATTTCTGTCTTAGAACTATTTTTGTTGCATCCCATAAATTTTGGTATATTGTATTTTCATTTTTTTTGAGATACTTTCTGATTTTCCTTTTGATTTCTTCTTGACACACTGATTGTTCAGGAATGTATTAATTTCTATGTACTTGTGAATTTTTAAAATTTTCCTTCTATTACTGATTTCTAGTTTCACACCATTGTGGTCAGAGAAAATACCTGATATGATATCAATCTTCTTAAATTTGATAGGTGGCCCAATATATGATCTATCCTGGAGAATGTTCTGTGTGCGCCTGAGAAAAATGTGCATTTGGTGTTGTTGGATGGAATGTTCTGTATATGTCTATTAGGTCCATTTGGTCTATAGTATAATTCAGGCCCTCTGTTTCCTTATTAATTTTGTCTGGATGATCTATCCAGTGTTGAAAAGTGGTATTCTGTGGTCCTCAAGTATTACTGTATTGCTGTCTGTTTCTCCATTTAGGTCAATTAATATTACTTTAAATATTTATTTAGGTGCTTCAATGTTAGGTACATACATATTTACAACTGTTACATCCCTTTGATGAACTGACCCCTTCATTACCATATAGTTACCTTCTCTACCTCTTGTGACCAATTTTGACTGAAAGTATATTTTACCTGGCGTAAGTATAGCCACTCCTGCTCTCTTTTGGTTTCCATTTGCACAGAATATCTTTTACCATCCCTTCACTTTCAGCCTATGTGTGTCATTAAAAAGCTAAAGTGAATCTCTTATAGACACTATACTGTTGGATCTGTTTTTTTTAATCCAACAACCACTCTGTGTCTTTTGACTGGAGAATTTAGTCCTTTTATGCTTAAAGTAATTATTGCTAGGTAAAGAATTACTATGGCCCTTTTGTTAATTGCTTCCTGGTTTTTTTTTTTTTTTTAAGTTCCTTTGTTCCTCTCTTGCGGTCTTCCTTTGTGATTTGCTTTTCTTACTGGTATGCTTTAATTTCTTTCTCTTTATCTTTTGTACATCTATTAAAGGTTTTTTTCTTTGTGGATACCATTAGGCTTACATAAAACATCTTATATACATAATAGTCTATTTTAAGCTGATAACAAATTACCTTCCTCTATGATGCTGTATTTCTAGTGATATAATCTGATGTTAGTGTTCTCAGTAGAAATGAGACATTATCACCGCTGAGTCTAGTTAGTTAAAATCCCAGAAAATTTCTAGTCATTCATCTGCTACTTAAAGGATGCCTTCACTATTCTTGTTACAGAACACATGGAGACCAATAAGACATATAGTCTCTGTCCTCATGGAGGCCAAAGTTTAATGGGAACATTGTCATCAGGTAAACAATTTATGAAATTACAATTGTGATAAGAGCCCTAAAAAGAAGTACTACAGGCTGGGAGCATATATCATGGGGAGACTGGCCAATTCTGAAGTAAACAGAACAGTGCTTTGAGGAAGAGATATAAGCAAAGACGTAAGAATAAGAGTTAAAAACTGAGAGAAAGAGCAAAGTATATGCGAAATTGAAAAGGAGCTAAACATAGCAACTGGAGATCAGTTTGGTTCAATGTTAAGGAAGGGAAAAGGGGCTGTGAAAGGAGCCTGGAGGCAAGTGACTGAGACCTTGCAAGTCCTTGGGGAACCAGCTTAAGGAGTTTGCATTTTAAGTGTAATGGGAGGGCTATGTGGTTCAAAGCAGAGAAGCAATAAGAAGGGATTTACAATTTAAAAAGCAATGCTTCCTGTATATGGAAAAGAGATTTAGGTAAAGAAGAATGACCAGCTGAAAGGGAAGCCATGGCTATAGTCCACAGAGGGGATGATGGCACGATAGGCAAATTTGGAGCCAGTGGTGATAAAGAGATTCAAGATACATTTATGGCTTGATGACAAACTTTATGTGGCAGACAAGGAGGAGGAAAGCGTTAACCCTGAAGCTTTTTGCATGAAAAATGAAAAATGGAGTGAATAATGCCATTTTACCAACAGTAAATACTTTCTTATATAATAACGGTTGTCAAACTGGGCTTCCCCATCCTGAATTTGGATAATTAAGGTTTTAAACTTATTGCAAGACTTTTATATTCATCCTTGTCAAATTTTTTTTTTTTTTTTGGCTCATACTTCCAGTCAGTTCAGAATATTTAAAATTCTTTGGTCTAACACCCAAAATCTCCTTATTAACTCCTCTCAGCTTTTTATCACACACAAATTTGGGAAGTCACACTTTGTAATCACTTATGAAGTTGTTACTGAAGATGCCCGCAGGTTGGCACTGACTTATCAAACAACTGAGGCCTATAGCTAACACCAGCAATTACACTAAACACTTAGAATGTGCCTAGCGCTTAATGTTCATTATTTAATTTAGTTTTCATGATATTGTTTCCATCCTCAAATACTCACTGAGCCCTTTTATGTGTAGGAAACTGCCCATTTTAGAGAGAAGGAAACTCAGGCCCAGAGGTGAAGTTAATTGGTTTTACATTACACTGTTAGTGAAGGGCAGAGTTATAACGTGCACTCCTGCTCAGAGGCTCTCAAACACATGCTGTTAAATTCTGAGGTTTCATTTGTATCCTTGTATTAAATTTTATTACTTCCTTTTTCTTATCCCCAAGTCCAGCTCTAAGGTATGAGAATACACACACACACATACACATGCACAGGCCATAAGGAATTTTTCCAGACAAGCTTCTCTATTACCTTTATCAAAGAACTTCTCAGTATTATCTGTACTACATTTTCTAATTTCTACATGTTCTTCATGGTATCATGTTTTTAGGTTGAGGGCTTTTTTTTCCCTCCTTCTGCCATCATAGAGTTCAGCTTCTTGATCAGATAATGTAATTCTTCTCTATCCCCTCTTTCATAGAGTCAGCATTATTATGTATTCCTGTTCAAATTCTAATATCCTTATTAGGTTAGAAACCAGTTTTCATTGTTAAATGGTAGAGGTCAAAGAAATCAAGATTTTATACAGGTGAGATTTGTTGTTTACATTTTAAGAAACATTGCTGTATTTCATAAATACTTCTTATAAAATGGGATGACTGAATTTCACAATATTCTATTTGGGCTCAAATAACAGTAACCTGGTTTGCCAGGTTGGTAATTTAAGAAAATGAATGCAGATAAAGTAAATAAGATGCTGAACTAATAGAACTCTTCCTGTCCCCATTTCCAATGAAATATTCTCAGAAGAATGATCTGGTTAAGAAAAAAGGAGCAAGTACAAAATTAATTGAGAATATATTTTGCTCTTACAATGCATTTTGGTTTTATCAATAAGTTAATTACATTTCCAAAGTGCAACAACTGCCTTCCACGAGGGATATGAAAAATTCTCTATCAATATCAAATCATGATAAAATTTTTCAGTTTAGAGAAAGGATAAGTTGTTTCACAAGGCTTATTAGTGCAAGAAAAATATACAGCCAAGAAAACACTACCAAAGATTTAACTGGCTATAGTGGTTGTCATTTTCAAATTCGAGAACATGACAGAGGAGTTTACTGAGAGTAAAGTCTCAGTGTTCTGCTTCTAACACAATGTGGGGTTTTCAAAAGCTGTGTTTATGAAGTTTAAACAATAACAAAACAGCTACATCTACTTAGTATTCTCACTAAAAGCAAAATATGCTTCTTCAAATATCAAAAATAAACGTTTCCTAAGCAATAATATACCAAGGAAACCTCACTCACCCTTAAGTTTCTGGAGGTCCTCCTTCAAATCAGGCCCTGCAAGCATGAAGATACTCTCTGACACAGGGTTCTTATCTGTAAGATTTTCATTGCTGGTATTCACAATGGCTGTACAGTTCAGTAATGCCACATCTCCTTTCCTGAGGAAATGATAAACAAATGAACAAGTGGGGAAGAGGAGGGAGATAAGAAAGCTAACTGCTAATTCCTTCAAAATATTCTATCCTCACTCCCCTTACAACGTTGGTTTGGTAGCTCACAAGCTTAAGCAACAGTAGAAAAGTAGTTCTGGACTCAGGAAGACTAATCTGGCATCTTAGAACTTCAGTGCAAATGCTACAACCCTGAAACCCACAGAACCCTCACGTTACTCCTTTGCTTCTGCATTTCTCTTTCACTGTAATAGAATGCTTATATAGCTAAAAGTGGTTGGTTTCAAGTGTTTACCACAGCAGCATTATTTATGATAGCCAGAAAGTGTCAACTACCCAAATGTCTATCAACTAATGAATTGATAAAGTGATAAATGTGATAGGTATATCCATACAATGGAATATTACTTGGCCATAGAAAGGAATGAAGTACTGATTCACACTCCAACATGGATGAACCTTCAAAATGTTACACTAAGTCAAAATTGATTCCATTTACATGAAATGTCCAGAATATACAAATCTATACACAGAGAAAGTAGATTAGTGGTTGGCTACAGCTGAGAGATGGGTGAAATGGGGAATGACTGCTAGTGGGAACAGGACTTTGGGGTGATGAAAATGTTCTAAAATTGACTGTGGTGATGGTCATACAACTTCGTAAATATACGAAAAACTATGGACTTATACAATTTAAACAGGTGAACTGTGTGATATATGAATTATACCTCAATAAAGCTTTTTTTTTTTAAAGGTATTACTACTAATAGTAATATCTTGATTGTGGTGATCAAAGTGAGAGAGCAGGTTCATGGATACATACATGTCAAAATTCACCAAACTGTACACTTTAAAAATGTGCAGTTTATTGTTATGTCAACAATACCTCAATAAAACGTAAGTATAAGCAAAATAATATATCAACAATGCTAGGGCTTACAAAGAGGAGTTTTGAAGAAATTATGGGAAAAAAGTTTAGAAGAAATTATCAGAGTATTATTACATCACGATATGATTTAATCAAAGAATTACCAAAGAACCACTTTCCCATTGATATTCTTATTGTAAAGAAAAGGTGATCTAATAGTGTTTTCCTGAAACGTTTCAGCTGCAGTATCAGAAGTATCTAATTCATCTTCCCACGAGTCGCCCCAGCTTGGTAGTGTATCCACATCCACAAACTGGGAAGGTGCACCCAAGGGATCCATGGAATGGGAACTTCAGCTTGTCTTTCCCCAAATTCCTCAGCAATTCAATATTCACGGCAGACTTTAGCTTAAAAGAAAAGAAAGAACTGTTTTAATAGAGAAGTACAGATACTATTCAAAAAAACAAATCTCTACTGTGAAATGCTCTAATAGGACATTGTGTGATTAGTCACTTAAAATACTCCATAAAACCAGTATATAACAAAGAATTGCAGTAGCTTCTCTAAAACAGGAAGAAAGGGAGATTATTTCAGCACAAATTCTTTTCAAAGAATCACAGCCATTAAAATAACCACATGGCCCACCAGTTCTACTTCCCATAAACACAGGACAATTCATTCAACATTCACTGAATGTCTGCTATTGGGGGAGGGGAGCTTGCTAGGTGCTGCAACAGATATAAAGATAAATAATATGGACAATTTAAAGAGTTCAATCAAAAAAAGTAAAGAGTTCAGTCAAATAATAATACGGAGATAGGATCTTACTCAATGATAACTGAGTAAGACAAAATGAGAAGCAGGGAGGTTCCCGCAATCAAGTAGTAAGAGACAATAAAAGTTTAAATTTAGTGGGAGAAGCCGATGGAGAAGAAGGCATGGATTTGAGAGGCAACATATAAAGGAAGAATTAACAGGATTAGACAATTTATAAGATGTGGCATGAGACACTGATGTAGTAGGATATTGGCTGTACGGAAATACAGAAATTAGAAGAGGAGGGTGATAGGAAGACACACAGTATCAAGTATTACAAAGAGAAGTAAGGATATTTAATTTGCCAAGAAGTCAGATAGCTGTTTCAGTAAAATGTAGATTCATTCATTCACAAATCTTTGTAAGCATCTATTATGTGTCAGGTACTGTTCTAGGCACTGGGGATACACTGGTGAATAAGACAGAGCAAGTCCATGCACTTACTGAGCTAATGCTTCCTGGAGAGGAGATGATAAACAATAACCAAACAAGCAAGCAGGTATCCAACAGAATGACTGGAAGCAGTAAGTATTATGAGAAAAAAGGTGCTATTCGAGTAGAGAGCTAAACAAAGTGAGAGATCAGGCCATATGAAGCCCTGCAGAGTGTTTCAGACAGAGGAAATAGTAAGAAAAAAGGCCCAAAGGTCAGGAAGGAGCTTGGTGTATCCCAGGAAGGGCGAGGAAATTGATCTGGATAGAACAGAATAAGCTAGGTAATGAGTGGTAGGTGATGAGGTTGACGGGAGAGGGAAAGGCTGGATGATGCAGTGTGTAAGCCCTGATAAGAAGGTTTGGTCTTATTGTAAATATGGGGGGAAGCTGTTAGAGGATCTTGATAGGGGGAATGACTTAATATAAATAACACTTGGTCAGATTACTCTAGCTACAGTGAAATCCAGTAGGGGTGAGAGTACAACCAGAGATGAGCAGAAAATGACTGCAGATTTAGGTGAGACGGTGACGAAGGTGAGGAGAAATGGTTGGATTTGGAATGTATTTTGAAGGTAGAGTCAACAAGACTTGCTAAATGAATATGAATGGTGAGGGAAAAGAACAGAATCAAAGGTAAGGTAACTCCTAGATTTCTTGCTTGAGCAACTGAGTAGATGCTAATTCTATTTACAGGGAAGGGGGAGGCTGGAGTAGGCTGTGTGGCACAGTGACAATCAAGGTCATTCTTCCTCCTGTGTTTTTGCATGTGTGAAGTTTGAGATGCCCCTCATTTGGCCAAGTATTGATGTCAGACATGCAATTGGCTATATGAGGCTAGAGCTCAGAGGAGAGGTCAGGCCACACACATAAATATGGAAGATTCAGCCTTTGGGTGGTATTTAAGGCTACGGGAACTGGATATGATTACCAAGAGACACAATGCAAATGGAGAAAAGAGACTGGAGGGCTGAGTCCTAAGGCAAAACTTACAGGCTGGAAAGAGGACAAGTCAAAAAAAAAATGAGCTAAAGAGGACTGATAAGACAGGAAGTAACACCAGGAAAGTATGGCAGCCTAAAAGCAAAGTGAAGAAAGTATTTTGAGCAGTGCTTGAGAAGGATCAGTAAATGCTACTGAAATGTTGAGTAACAGGACTGTCGACTGATCAGTGGGTTTGCTAAGGTAGAGATCATCACCGGTAACACTGAGCAAACAGACGATCAGGAATGAAAGCTGGCATGTGAACTTCCTGTTAGAGAAGTTTTTCTGTGTGATCCTGTCTGTTGTTAGAGGCAAGGAGAACAAATACACCTTTCTACATCTAATTCCTTGGTGTTTCTTGCTGAGAAATGTGAGATACTAAGTGGAATGAACCATGGATCAGGCACAATATGTTAATTCCTGCACCAGCACCGTGCAGTAGGAAATGTGATCATTTATTTAACAATTTCTGAAAGGCCTTAGAAATTATACCATGATAAAACTGTATAAGTGGATTATTCTTATTTGATACAAAAAAACTCTTTTGAAATTATTTTGAAATAAAGAAACTAATTTTATCTAGAAGTTGGTGTTTAGTCCATCCAATTGGCCTTTGAAACTAGAGGCAACCACGAGATCTGTTGATTTGTTAAAAAGTATTCAAACCTGAGCTGGACAAGCTGAATAGAGGACAGATAGAGACTACATTCATTTTTCATGGCTGAACTGCCTGAAGCTCAATAGAATGACACTTCACAGAAATTCATACTTTAGAAAATTATTCACAGATTTTTGAGGACAATGACTCATGCTAAAACTTTAAAAAAATATATTTTATTTATTTATTTGAGAGAGAGAGAGCATGAGAGACAGAGCACGAGCAGGGGGGAAGGGCAGAGGGAGAAGGAGAAACAGATTCCTGCTGAGCAGGGAGCCCGATGCGGAACTCGATCCCAGCACCCTGGGATCATGACCTGAGCCGAAGGCAGATGCTTAAACAACTGAGCCACCCAGGCACCCCATGTTAAAACTTTTTAACTATAATATAAAAAATTCCATTAAACATTAAACTTTGTTTTCATTTTGCAAACTCAAGTGCTAACTTTCAGGACAAAATTACTTTTTTAAATAACTTTTCTAAGTAATACTCACTTACAGGACATTTAAGAAAAAAAAGTTAAGAAAGGAAAAACTCCCAAATTTTAATAGAGTTCCTATCTTTTTCTATGATAGGTGAAATCATACTGTAGGTACAATTTTGAATCCGGCTTCTTTAGTATTTTGAGATAAATATTTCCACATGCAATTATACTGTGGGGGAGAGGAAGGGTGGTGCAATGTGAGAGCTGGGGTTCTGTTATCAGCAGGCCTAAGTTTAGGTCTAGGACCTAACAGCTAGGTTATCCTTGACTATAAGCCAGGGTTTCCTTATTTCAAAAATAAGAATAATACACTCCTAGGGTTATTGTGAGGATTAAGTGATATAACCTGGCACAAAGCAAGACACAGTAAAAGTTGTTATAGCTTTCTCAGAGCCAATGTGGAAGTCACTTGCACCGCTGTTGAGATAAAGGTATGTCTCCGTGTATGACAGAGACTAGAACACTTGCTGTCAAAGACTCTAATGAGCACCAAAAACCAAACACAAATTGCTGAATTAAGATACAGTTATTTATCTCAATGTCTGCCCTTGAAATGACTTGTTAATCCCTAATACCTAGATCAATCCAACATCTGTTTTCTCTAATTCTGCTCTTATGCTACTAGGGAAAAAAAAACCAATCAGTAATTATCCTGTCTGCTGCCAAGACAAATGCATGTTTTTCAATGTCAGCTGGGCCCTCCATCAACACTATTAGGAAACTGTTTTAAGAATTCTTGGGTGACTCTCTATGCTATACATATAGCATCTGTGGTTAACATCCTCCAAGATGTCCTTCAATGATACCTGCTTCCTGATATCTATGCCCCTGTATAGCTGCCTCCTACAGAGAATAGGGCTGACCCATGTAACCAACAGGATACCGCAGAAATGACAGTATATGACTTCCAAGGATGAGTCATAAAAGATATTGTGCTCTTTCTTGGAGTGCTTGCTCTGGGGAAATTAGCTCACATGATGTGGGACACTCAAGCAGCCCATGAGAGGTCCCCATGGGAAGAACCTGAGGGTTCCTGCCAACAACCAGCATCAATGCTCAGGCAGGTGAAGGAATCACCTTGGATCTTCCAGCCTTAGTTGGGCTTCAAATGACTTCAGCCCAGCTGACATCCTGACTGCAACCTCATGAGAAACCCTCATGAGCCAGAACCACAAAACTAAGCTGCTACCGAATTCCTGACCCATAGAAATTGCAAGATAATAAATGCTTATTTGTTCCACGCATTCATTTATTCAAGCATTATTAGGTACGGAGACTCTAATGGAAGAAACAGACTCATAAAAATCACACAAATATACATAATCACAGAAATAAATACATAGTTAAAATCTGTGAGAAGTGTTCTGTAAAGAAGAACAAGGTGGAAAGTTAATTTAGATTTGGAGAAGCAGAGAATGTCTCTTCCACAAAGTGACAGTTAAGACCAAAAGTAGAAGAGTTTTACAGAGGTAAGGGCACATCTGGGAGCCACACTTTAAACCTGTCAAACTGCCTTCATTTACGCATTTTACTCCACTTCACCAGCTCTCTTATAAGAGAATGTTGTAACTCTCCCTTCACTATATCTACTCTCTCCTTCCCCTTGGTTCTCCTATTCTCAAAAAACTCTCCTACCCCATTTCTTCTTCAGACACCAATGAAAACTCCTCATTCCACCATTTAACATTAAAGCATAATTTGTTTTGCAGCTCTATTTCCTTTTCTCCCATTTATTCAACCTACTGCAGTTTTGCTTCCATCTCTGTTAACAATGCTGAAACTGCTCTTTCAATGTCTAACAATGATTGACCAAATGTCCAAATGTCAAATCCAGGAACTAATCAAATTTTAGTTGCATTAACTACTGATCATTCTTTCTCTGAAATTCTATTATCTTCTTTGACAGTACACTACTGGTGGTTCTCTTGTATCTCTAATCACATCTTGTCTGCATAATTTGTGGGCCCTTCTTCCCAGATCTTAAAAGTCATTGTGACCCGTAAGATATTGGGTACTTAATGAGTAATAAATACAGTTCAGGGCTCTCGAAGTTTAATGGCATTATATAGAAAGTGTCATGACATTTAATAAAGGGAAAATTCTTTTTCAGCTTCATCTATAAGCTGAAATTGATTCTTCTCACCAAAAAGAGATTTAAATCTCCCCTCGTCTCCAACACAGCAAAGCCAAGCTAGGCAGGAAAATTTGATCTCTGATGCTTAAGGTATAGTGGTTCTTAACATTCTTGGGGTCACAGACCCTTTGAGAATCACCTAAGAGGTCAGGACCTTTTTACCATCCAAAATGTGAGCACATGATGAGCTCATACAAGCAGAGTTACAAATAAACTTGAGAAGGTTCCCAGACTCAGATTAAGAATCCCAATGATAGAAAGAAGACAGAGTGCTCAGGTGAGGGAGGGGGGAAAAGCTACAGTAATCTATAGCTAAAGCAAGACTTTCCACTGAATATCAGTTGATCAGTTCTGTACTTTGAACAGGTTCAAAAGCAAACACTAAACCTTAGTATTAAAGGCTCCTGAGATAAGACATCTATGTCCAAGATCAAAAAATCTACATGAGACAATCAGAAGATTCCAGAATGGATCATATCTATTTCCTTAGCCATACTATGTTAAGGGTTACCTTCAGTATCTTCATGATTGAAGACCTAAAGACAAAAAGAACTCTCTATATATCCTTTATAATCCAAACCCGTAATGAGTATAAACCATTCTCATTACCCTGCGGCTTGTCTTTTTTCTCAAATATTGTAAACATTTAGGTTAAGTACTCATTTTTTTTTTTTTTTTAAACAAATCTCTCAGTCTTTTAGTTTAAGAAGTCCTCTAGGGGCGCCTGCGTGGCTCAGTCGTTAAGCGTCTGCCTTCAGCTCAGGTCATGATCCCAGCGTTCTGGAATCTAGCCCCGCATAGGGCTCCCTGCTCAGCAGAGAGCCTGCTTCTCCCTCTCCCACTCCCCCTGCTGGTGTTCCCTCTCTCACTGTGTCTCTGTCAAATAAATAAAATCTTTAAAAAAATAAAAAATAAAAAAAGAAGTCCTTTAAATAATTCTTTATATGAATAATTGGATTGGCTAGAGAGGTTAGATTTTTATTGTTCAAGACTAAGCAGAGTCAGACAGAATACCCTGGATCATGGTCTCAGTATAACCTGGTTTTTGTTTGGACAAAAAGAAAATGGTATCATTTAATAGAAAAGCAGGAACTTTAAATCTGTTTGCTTGTTCTTCAAAATGCTTACATTGGTTAGACAGGCCTGGATAAAAGTATAAAGAGATAAATTACAGGTTCACCATTCTTTATGCCGTGTATTTCAATATTTAAAACTTCAGGGCACATTAGATATTTATGTATAATACTCCATCCCAACATCAAATCTATTATAATATTTAAAAATCATCCTATGCAAATGGAAATAACCTTTTTTAAAGTTACTTAGGTGGAAAAAACAAACTGAAGCAGTTAGATATGTCAACAATAAATACAGTAAAACAAAAATATTTCTAAGCAATATCAATGGTCTAGGTCAAATTTAACACGGTCATTCAAGAACATCCAGAGCACAGGCCCCAGTGGTGAGTCTGTAGTACCACCTTCATATTAAAAGAAGTTTACTACGTCTTAATTATAAGTATTAATAAATTGAACAATTTGAAACTTAAATTAGAAATTAGGGTTATACTTTTTAAAAACTGTATGATTTGGGAATTTTATAAGATGCATTATCTTGGTACATAGGTGCTCTTACACCAACTCTTATTAAAATTATTTTTTCCATTTGTGATTGTCCCTTCCCATAATATTTCATAACGTTAAAAGGATTTTTTTTAAGTAAAATCATGACTCATTCAAATATAAAAACAAAAATGTGTTCAACATTTTATTTAACTCAGAGAGAACCCGTCAGGTGACAGATAAAAGGAATCCCAAAATTGAACACATTAATAGATCAGAAATACTGAAATGAATGTACAAGAAGGCAACTTCCACTGAATCTCTAAGAGGACAGAATCTGCACGTCTATAGACAAAAAATATTTAGTACTGACATTAGTTATCTATAGTTCACAGAGTTGTAAAATTGCTTTCCTGGAACAGCTTTCTAGATAGAATCTAGATTATGCAGTTTTCTACTGAAGCACACGTTTTTTCCCTATATTAATATAATGCACATCTCCTATGGGAGATATTAACCATACACACCCACCTAAACGCTCCCTTCCTCAGGAAACTTACTGAAACAATAGTCTGTTGCCACAATTTCCTCCCTTCTCATTCATCCAACCCACAGTAATCTTGTTTCAAAACACCTACATCTACCTACAGTTTCATCATATCCATTCGCTACTACTGCAATTTTCTTGACTATGGAAGACTGGCTGCACGTCTTAAGAACTCAAGAAACGAGAAAAAAAAAAAAAGAAAAACTCAAGAAACGTCTGAAAATAACGAGATAATTTAGATAAAAGTCTAATTTCTAGGTTGGCTGCAGATATCTTGCTCAATAATTGAAGATAGAGGCTTATTTCTTTTGTACAGCTATGTGTTAGCTTTAATTTTCCACAACTACAGACATCGGAACTCATTTTTGAACATTTCTATACACTCCAAGAATAGAAGCGGACAGAGCTGCAAGAGAGAAAAGCTAATTTCTACCTGGTGACAGAGCACCTAAACCTCAATTACCAAGGAAGGAGGAGTCAGCCCTGGTCACTTCCCCCTCAAGTGGCCAGGGAGCGGAAACACAAAGCCAGACCAATGTCACTCCAGGGACTGCGGGGATCCAGACGACTCAGCATCTTGGGCTTAGCGCCTTACCCAGCCCTGACTCGAGCTGCTCTCAGTTTGTGGCACGGCGGGTCCACACGCGCGGCAACATAAACTCAACCCTGGGACTGTAACCCGCAAAGGTCCCAGCCGCCCTATCTCGCCTGCATCAGGGCGCGTGCCTTCCTAGTGACTACAGCACCACTGTCCCTGGTGCCCAGGTCCGCCTACCCTCTCTCTTCTCTTCGATAAGTCGTCCCCGATAGCGCCGCGGGCCAGAGGAGCCCGACTAATCTCTGGGGAAGAAGCGGCAGGCTCATTCTTCCAGAGAGCGGACAGCACTAACCCTCTCTGTCCGCACCCTCAGTCCGGGCCGAGTCCGAGAGCCTCCCGCCGCGCCCCCACCCCGCTCCACCCCGCCTTCCCTCCCGGCCCCGGTCCCAGTCCCACTTCTTACAGCACTCCGGCGGTCCCATCCGGGCGGCAGCAGGACGGGTTAAGCTCCTCGTAGAAAGCGTCAGAGCGGCATCCCCGGACACCCCTGGCCAGGAGCTCGACGGTCAGGCGAGTCAAAGTCCCAGGAGCCTGAAGTGACCAGCTGCAAGAGCTTTGAGTGGCGAAACACTGACTTCCGCTACCGGCCGGTCCTCACCAACCAGAGACCGCACACGTCATTTCCTCCTCGAAGGCAAAAGGAACGCCGGGCGGAAGTGGGTCCCGACGCGGACCCGGAAGGGGTTCGTCCCGGGGGCGGGTCCAGGAGGCTCGGAACCTCGTGGAGGCCAAGGTAAGGACTGTAGGAGCACGGCGTTCGATCGCCTTTGCTTGCGGCTCAGAGTTAGTGGCGTAGTCCTGGCTGAGGCCCCCGTGGCGCCAGCAGCAGAGGAGGCGGGGGCATTTGCGGCCGGTGGCTAGGGTGGCGACTGGGAACCTACCGTCCCCCGTGGCCGCCCGCAAACGCCGGGGGCTGGTGCGTGCACCGTGTCTCCCGAGGATGCTCCGGCAGCATGATCGGTGCGCGGAGCACCCCCTCACTCTGTCCTGACTGAAGACTCGGGTTAGGGACGTCTGACAGGTCTGTTACTACGCCCCAGCCCCTCAGTGCATCATAGATACAACATGTTTTCGGGCTCCGTAGGTATTGGAAGCAGGGATGGTAGGTCGCGGAAGAAGGTAAGGTCGTGACCTCTCTCCAAAAGGCGTTAAGATCTGTGCACGTGAGACACAAATGACTAGTGCCAAGTTGTATGGAAGATACCTTAAATATTGAGGCAATAGAAAAGGCTGCGGGAATGGTCTAGCCTCGCAGGAAGTGGGCCTCAGAGGATAACACCGATTTAATAAAATAGGTTGACATGACAGTCACGTTATTGTAGGTGAGAGGAACAATATGAAGAAAGCAAGGTGGCAGGACAAAGGAAGGAAACCAACTAACCTGACAAGAACCCAGTGATAAAGAGCTGGAACAGAAAGTGGAAAGAGAGAAAAGAATCCTACTTCAGAAAACCGATGGATTAGGTGGAAGTTTCTGACAAAAGAGAGGACAGAGGCAAAGAAGCAGTTTAGCTTAGTGGTTAAAAGAAGAAATTTTGGAATTTGACTGTATTGGAACCTGGCTTTGGCACTTAAAACTGGGTATATGATTTTGGGCTAGTTATTGCACATCTCTGCTTAGTTTTCTTGTCTGTAAAATGGAGGAAAGAATAGCGCCTACTTTGTAAGGTTATTGTGAAGAATTTTTTATCCTTAATTTACAATATTCTAGATGCTTTTCACTTTTTTTATTTATTTTTAAAGATTTTATTTATTTATTTTGACACAGAGAGAGAGAGAGACAGCGAGAGAGCGAGCACAAGCAGGGGGAGTGGCAGGCAGAGGGAGAAGCAGGCTCCCTGCTGAGCAAGGAGCCCGATGTGGGACTCAATCCCAGGACCCTGGGATCATGACCTGAGCCGAAGGCAGACGCTTTACGACTGAGCCACCCAGGTACCCCTCTAGATGCTTTTTAAAAAATATTTATTTTAGAGAGAGCATGAGCAGGGGGAGGGGCAGAGGGAGAGAATTTCAAGCAGACTCCCCGCTGTGCACAGAGCCTGCTTTGGGGCTCAATCTGATGACGCTGAGATCGTGACCCCAATGGTAATAAGAGTCCGGGGCTAAATGGACTGAGCCACCCAGGCGCCCCTAGATGCTTCTCTAAGTGCTTTGCACATGTTAACCCTTTTAGTTAACTCAGTTGCTATTTGTAATTAAACAACTGCATACGTTTACTCAGGTGTATACATTGAATAAGTTGCCATATAGTAAGGGCTCTGTAAGTCTTGGCTCCTCTAATAATATTTTTTATTAATGAGCCAAAGTTTGCTACAAGGCTTATGAGCCTGAATGGCAAAGGGGATTGTGTATCTTAGAATAAGAAAAAAAATGAGGGGTTCAGGAAGGGAGATAGGTTCGGTTTTACCCATGTTTGATATGATGCTGCAAGGTATTTGAATGGGTATCTCATGAAAGTTTTTGGAACTCTTATCATTGGTATTCGCATACATGAACAGGACGGAAATAGAGATGTAGGTGTCCCTAGGCCTAGGTATGCAATATGAAGTCTCCAAGGAAAATACTGTGGAAAGAATTGATAGATGGCCAAAAACTATCAAGAGGAACAACTATAGTTAAGGGGCTGGAGGAGTAAGGAATAGGGAAGAGTTGATGAAATGGCCTAGGCTAACAGCGTTATCACCATGTTAATATTCTTTCCTTGATTTTTAACTGGCTTTGGTGGTTCTTAGGTGAGGAAAAATGAATGGTTACTAAAAGAAAATATTAAAGAGAGTAGGCATTGAATATTTGTCTGTTAAGATAGGCTAAAACCAAGTGTAATCAGAAATGGACCCTGTAGAATTAAACCAAAAGTAAAAACCAACAACAAAAATCAGCTTCCCAAAAAAAGGGTGTATTTGCTGTCTCGTATTGTGTCTTTTTTAAGTTGCATGGGTGTTTGGGGCACTTTTCACTCTTCCATATCAAGACCAGACTGGCTTGACTTAGTATCTCCTTCACTTGTTGTCTCTTTTATCTATAAACATGTTTTCAGTGAATTTGATTTAGGGGAGAACTAAGGCATCTTTCAAAAATAATATGCCATGTTGCTGTATCACGTTTCTGTGCCAAGGGTAGGTGGCTGACCTGATTTGGAAATCAAAGAAGGACATACATGTACTAGAACAGTAGTTCTCCCAAGTGAGGAACCACACAACCACAGCATCACTTGAAGAACTTCTTAGAAAGAAAAATCTTGGGTCCCATCACATACCTACTGAATCAGAATAGGCACTGTGGAGCTTTGGTGGACGTGGTTCCCAGCAATCTGTTTTCATAAGCCCTCGGGTGATTCGGATACATACTAGAGTTTGAGAATCACTGCTGGATGTGTGCCACGAGGTTGGGGATTTTATTTTACTCAACACTCTAGTGTCTAAAATGGCGCTTGTCCGGGTAGTAGAATTACAGTAATTGCTCACTGTAAATATTTTCCGACTCAATCTTGTCAGTCTCCGTGTAAAAATTTGATGGTGGTTAAATGAACAGTAGTGAATTATTTAGCTGCACTAAGGCCATATGTCAGTTACTTGTGAGGCGGGCACGACAAGGTGACCAATTTAAAACTTGAGGAATGAGGGCTTACATGTTGAGTCAACAGCAAATACAAAATGATGATGTCAGGTATTTATGTCAATGCTTTACTCAGAGTAAACAAAGGTTAAGAAGTCACAAGTTATAAGTTTTTTTTTTTTTTTTTT